TTCATAGTGATGGCAAATTAGTTTCATTCAGTATTGATCAGAGTATACGCTGCTTCAGCCATCATGTAAGTCTTTAACTGGAAATTAGGTATTTTGAACACACACTAAAAAAAATTAAAACCACCGGTATAAAAATAGCATGTAACATCAACACCATTGAACTTAGCGATGTCTCATTGGTTCCACATTTCCCTCATTTTAATAAGTTAAAGGTACATCTATAGTTCTTTATTAATGCTATGCATATGACAATATCGTTGTTATGTTTTTTTTTAATTCTTTTTCTATTTTTTTCTCCGGGGGGAGGGGGGGCAGTTGACCCCCCCCCCCCCCCCCCCCCCCAAACCCTGTGATGCTTAATATAAAAACTGGAGTAGAAACCAATTAAAAAATTTATATTTTTTTAAAATATATACGTGAACAAAGGCTTAAAATGAGGATCGTCCAATTTTTGGAACAATAATACGGTATTTAGAATCGAATACTCTACAGGTATTTAAATTCGCATGAATATATCGGATTATTAAATACTAGGGCTTAACTTGTCGCTGTTTATTTAAACCGGCTCCGTATATTTTGAGAAAGTGCCGGGCGGTGCAAATTTCTATAATATATCCCAAGCGTTTAAACAATAGGCCCCACTGGCAGTCCTACACCCTACTCGCCGGTCTTTAAACAATAGTCCTACAGACAGTCCTACACAATACCCGTGTTTTTTTTATTGATTGCTATAATAGTTTTACCTGAGTGCACACGTCACGCGTGACAACATTTTTTTCTCACTTATTTCTTCTATCAATGCAAAAGATGTGGAGCTTTTTCTTTTTTTTTTTTTTTTTTTTTTGAGAGGGGGGGGGGCAGTGGCGTAGCGAGGGTGTTTGGCGCCCGGTGACAAGATTTGCGCCCGGGGACAAGATCCATTTTTAGCGCCCCTTTTTCTTTTTTTCAACTCTCAAACCCATTATTTTCATCAATAAAATAATAACAAAGCACATTTTGGCGCCCCTAACTAGCTGGCGCCCGGGGACAGAAAAGTCTGAGGGAGGAAAAATCATTTTCCTTTTTTTTTTTTTTTTTTTTTTTTTTCTCTTTTTTTTTTAAATTTTATAATTATTTTTTCTTGCCATCTCATACCGTGCCACGGATCGTACCATTCATTTTCACATTTCTCTCTCGACGACGGGGCATCACGCAGTGAAGCCACTATAAAATAAAATATAAATTACTTGTCAGTGTCCATTCAGGAGTACATTTGTCACGAAATACCAGTGTGGATGATCCAACCTCCGGATGTCCATGATATTCTTCTACAGGCCAATAAATGAACAATTTGCAATGAAAAGAAGAGTGAATCTTCCTTTAATTAAACCAAGTTTCAGTAGAAAATGTTTTGGTTTCACCTCCAATAGCCTGTCATGTGTGATTAGTGGGAAATGCACACTTTTTTTTTTTTAATGAATACGTGCCATGGTCTGAGATAGTCTCCTACTGGAATAATTGATAGCTTCTCATTACAATCTGAGGTTTGACTGCCAATGATGAGCCAGGGTGAAAAACTTGAAGGTGCAAGGTGAATTGATAATACTGTAGTGTTGGATCCCAATCTGTGTGGTACACCTTAAGTTAGTGGGCGGTCCCTGAGTTTACTCCCCTTAAAAGAAATGCACAACACATCATGCCAGGCTAGAGAACTGCCGGATCCAGAGGTGATGACCCCTTGAGGAGGGAATGATAGTAATTTTTTGAAAGAGAGAGAGGAAAAGATCTAAACAGCGATGATAGATTGAAATTAATAGAGGTTGAGGAGGGGTGGGGTTGGCGTTGAAGCGCAACCTAGTAAAGGGCTACGTGAAGTGGTTAGATAGGGAAAAGAGTAGCATGGGCGCCCGCAGGTAGGGGCAAGGGGGCACTTGCCCCCCCCCCCCGGATTGATTGGATAAAAAAAATTTAGACAAAAATAGACCAAAAATGTATTAAAGTAAAGAGAAAATAAATAGAAAGTAACTAAGCTGATGTCCTGTCCGTTCGTTCTCCATACAAATACGCTACAGTAAATTAAAACTATATTAAAACATTACTAAAAAAATTTTGCCCCCCCCCCCATGGAAAGTTAATCGATTTTTTGCCCCCCCCCCCTTAGAAAGTTTTCTGCGGGCGCCCATGAAGGTTAGTAAAGTTTTAATCCCTTAGCATCAATGTTGCCATGGAAAGCATACATTATATAATGATGAGATACTATTTTTAAAATTTTTAGTAGATTAGGTCAGTATTTTTCAAACTTCAGGGTGACGGAGAAGAATGAATTTATCTACATGACAGCAGGACATTTATTGGTCAGTTGTTTTTTTGTTGTTTTTTTATCTTCTTGAAATTGTTAACATTTTATGGATTAGCTGTGACAGAGAGTAGACCGGTGCTGGCTAGCTGTGACAGAGAGCAGACCGGTGCTGGCTAGCTGTGACAGAGAGCAGACCGGTGCTGGCTAGCTGTGACAGGGAGCAGACCGGTGCTGGCTAGCTGTGACAGAGAGCAGGCCGGTGCTGGCTAGCTGTGACAGAGAGCAGACCTGTGCTGGCTAGCTGTGACAGAGAGCAGACCGGTGCTGGCTAGCTGTGACAGATGAGCAGACCGGTGCTGGCTAGCTGTGACAGAGAGCAGACCGGTGCTGGCTAGCTGTGACAGAGAGCAGACCAGTGCTGGTCACAACTTTAAGAAAAACTATCATTGACATTATTTATTTCAGTAAAAAAAAATATGTTGTCTGTGTCACAGCTACGGGGACATTGTATTTACAAATACATTGATGTTTTTTTTATAAAGAACATTCCACCCCCCTCCCCCCGTTTGATTAAACCCAAGGTCCAGGTATTACACACAAAAAAGTTAATCTGCATTTTAATGGGAAGAGCGAGCACCAGTTTAAGAGCTTTAAGTTTAATTTACATGTTAATGAAAGGTACAAAGGGGATAGTTTTGGTTTTAAAGCGAAAACTGCAATTGTATTTCATTGTGATCCTCATGCTAACAAACCCAATGTTTTAATTAAGATTATGTATTGCTTGGCCAAAATCTCTTACATAGATTTGCATGTGTGATCGCTTCCATTTCCGGATAGCATGCAAAATATAATTCCCGATAACTACGCTATATGATTTTTTTTTATATAACGCAACTGCGTTTGGTGCGTAATATTTTCTTTTCGGAAAATGAAATCATCTCAATTTAAATATGGTGTAAAAATATTCGGTTGAAAAGTGGTTGGGACATAAGAATATTAATATAGTTCATGGTCGTGAAATAAAAAGTGTGCAGTGACGCATCATGGAAAGTGGTTGGGGGGGGGGGGTGTAGCAAAAATTGGGATTCTTAAATGTGCGTTACTTGAGTTCATGTCAAGTTCACTAATTGCCATCGTGTGGGCCGCTTCTGCCAGTGATATTTGGGGCCGCTTCTGCCAGTGATATTTGGGGCCGCTTCTGCCAGTGATATTTGGGCCGCTTCTGCCAGTGACATGTGGGCCGCTTCTGCTAGTGATATTTGGACCGCTTTTATTAGTCCTATTTTGAAATACTACACAATAATGACTAAGTTGTTTTTTCCCCACAACTTGAAGATAATACAAATTAAATGTACAGGCATGTGTACCGGAGTATCTACAGTACAATCACTCATTTGGCAAACACTTCAGGACTGGTACACTGTACACACCATTTACAGCAGCAATGGTACATTGTACACACCATTTACAGCAGGAATGGTATTCTGTACACACCATTTACAGCAGGAATGGTACACTGTACACACCAATTACAGCAGGAATGGTACACTATACACACCAATAACAGAAATGGTGCACTGTACACATAAATAAAAGGACTGGTAAACTATACACATCAATAACAGAAATGGTACACTGTAAAAACCAATAACAGGACTGGTACACTGTACACACCAATTACAGGGCTGATACAATGTACACATCAATAACAGGACTGGTACACTGTACACACCAATAACAGGACTGGTACACTGTACTCAACAATTAAAACAGGACTTGTACAATGCTCACACCATTAACAGGACTGGTAACTGTACACAACAATAACAGAACTGGTAGACTGTACACACCAATTTCAGGACTGGTAGACAACACACCAATAACAGGACTGGTACACTGTACTCACGAAGTACCGCAGGACTGGTACAATGTTCACACCATTAACAGGACTGGTAACTGAACACACCAATAACAGGGCTGGTACACTCCACACCAATAACAAATGGTACACTGTACACACCAATTACAGAAGTTTAAAACATATTATATAATATATCAACACTAATTTTTTTTTTATTTTAAGAAAACACATTTTTTTGTTGGGGGGAAGAGGGGTGAGAGAGGGATGACCACACACACTTCAATTAAAAGAACTGCATGGGACTGGCTTGAACCATCTTTCAATATGAACAGAGTAGGGATGAGTGCCAAAACTTGAGTGCTACAATGTCTCAGTGCCACCAAGTCAGAGTGAAAGAATCCAGTAGAGCAGTGATGAGTAAAGAAACATTCCAGAATGGTTCAATGGTAACAGACCATCCAAAAGTGTTAGTCAATACTTTGTTTCTTATGACATTCTCAATCTTGAAGAGGAACTGAGATGAGGGCATTTCTGTTCATAAGTAAAAAATCTTTTTAAACAAAATCCATTTCTAAACTTAGTACAAAAAAAAGGAACTTGCCACACTGCCCTTGAAAAAAGGACAGATGCTTTTTAAAAAAAAAAATTGTAAATACCAATTCCCATTAAACAATGGGTTGCACCAAATCATAATTTAAATAATCTTATTTGACAATAATTTAAACCCCAAGGTCGTTATTCTTCCACGTCTTTTCAAGGTGGCAGTTCTGGAGAGTTCAAGTTTGCTTTGACCTCATTAGATTTATAACACAAAATATGTTCCTACCTGTAATTAATAAAACAAGGATTCCAATTATTTTTTTAAAAGTATTTATTGACTTTAAAACATTGTGTTCTCATATTTTTGTAACAATTTTATTCTTTATCAGAATTTCAAAGGTACAATATTTTTATTATTTTTAGATTTTAAATAAAAACCAGACATCTATGGCACATGCATGGCTGTGATGATATATAGACAATTATAACCTTTTGAAGAATGAAAATATACAAGACAGACAGCCTTGATCTTTGAACTATTGACCATGGAGAAAAAAAAGAGGGGGGGGGGAGATGGTATAACAGAACTTTTACAATTTTAATCTAATATAAAAAATTGTATGGTAAACTGCTGTTTAAAGAGATATGATGCACATTGCATCAACACCATTTTAGCACAAGCAAGCTACAACAACAAAAACAGAGGCTCAACAAAAATGGAATTGAGTGTGGAGCGAGGTACTTTTACTATTAAAAAATGTTTAATATAAAAAAAATACTATCTAAATTATTTAATACAAGTGTTTAACCCTTGAACTGTGACATAGATCATAGATCATTCTGTAGTGTGGGAGCTTTGAAGGGCTTTTTGAGTGCCTTTAAAAATAGCATTAAATGACATAAAATATTGATACAAGACTTAAATTAATATATATTTTTAGAAAGGTAAATGGATGGGGATAAAGTTGACTATATTGCCCACCCATAAAAAAATTTTGTTCAGTGTCCTTGACGGAGTGCTTAAGGGAAGAAAAAAATCGACAAAATATCTTGCTTTCAAGTGCTCATGACATCATTAAATTTGTACAGATTCCATTAAAATGCTAAATACAAATGTGGTAGCCAATTCATTTATCTTTCATAAAATGTATAGTTTGCTAAGATTTTGATTACAATTAAATCTCTGAAAACAATTTAAGTAATTTTAGGTCATTTATTAATGAAAAAATAAGAAACTGGGACCACGGCTAAAACCAAGTAAAGCATACAAAATCTCAGGCAAAATAGTTATTTTTGACTAGTAAACATTTAAAAAGGAACTGTGGAACTGATTTGGATTTTTTAACTATAAATCTGTGGCTTCTGCGACTAAAATTCAGTCAGTCCTTACCCGACCTCCAGGCCTGGCTCAAAGTCTAACAGTAGGCCTTCTTCAGTATCACTAAGACTAGTATAAGATTTCTGAGAAGAAGAATCTGAACTGAGATTGTCATGGGGAATGTTCAAATCATCATCAGTATCACTTAAATCCTTTCCTAAAAAGCTTTCAAAAATATTTATATTAGTTCTCACACTGAAGGCCACGCCATAGCTTCAGCCATATTAACTTTTTCAAAAACAGCGATATAAAATTCCGATTAAAAAGTACTTATTGTTATCAAGAAACTGCTTGACCAGAAAGTTGAATTTATTAATAATAAAAGGAAGTGGCTATGATTCTGGTTAAATATTGGATTGGAAGTTGCTATCGGACTGTGTTTTTTGTCTGCCGATTTTTTTTGGCTGCCACAGTACAGAACGAGAATATCAGCCAATTTTTTTGGCCAACCACAGTTCGAGGGTTTAAATTTAGTGGAGTTTTAAGAGAAATGTCAGTCAATGGCAGAATTAAAATATGTGGAGGAAGGGAGGTAAAACTGTTAATTTTAATCTCCCTTGCAGACAGATAAAGCTGATAATAAATTATGTATAAACTCTTATAAGAAATATTTTGATTTAATCATACAATAAGAAGCTTAATCATTACCCTGTGTTATTTAAATGATTAAACAACATAATAATCTTTCATTGATGGACTGAATATTTTAGAAAACAGAAATAGATTAACAGATTTGAAGCTTCAATAAAACTATTTACACTATAACCAATTTGAGATGGTCTTGGATGAATCACATATAACTTAAAGAAAGGACAGGTCAAATGAGACTATTAATTTTACAAGTTTTTTTAACATTGACAAATTATGGTGACATTTGTTCTCATTTAAGGAAACACAGAATGGCAAAGCAAATAACAAAATATACAGATTGCATTTTTATCCCCAGCAAATCCGAAGTGTGCTGAATATTTTGAAAGACAATTGACACAATATTAATTACAATATACAATTTTTGGAATAAATTTTCAGTCAGGAAATGCAGTGATGGAGAAAATCTTTCAAGTATCATGGTGTTAAAAGAGATATTTACATAATAGGTAAATGTTATGAAAAGATAACCCCATGTTTGAAGTTCAAGTCAATTTGTAATCAAAGATATTATTGCAATACATTTTTTTAACAACCAAAGAGATTAAAACAATATAAATTGTTGTCTTTTATAAAATGCATTTTGATAAGATCTTACTAATGTGCGAAACAAATGACATTTTGCAAAAAATTCAGCACTGCAAAGCTAAAGTTCTATTAAAATTCAACCTGACAAATTAAAAAGCGCTTGTACAGAAGCTTGTTTCATAGGACACTTTGCCAATGGCTGCCCAGATTTTTTCATGAGGGATGTCAGTTTCACACATGTTGGCGAGAACACGCAGTTTTCTCAAGGCATAGTCATTCTGAAATAATTGTTGGAAATAAATTTTTAACATTTTATATTGCCTGCATTGTGTGGATAACAAATTTATTTTTGAAACAAAAAATTATATCAATTTTGGTTCTTACAAATTAACAAAATTTGAATAGATAGAGATAATATTTTGAATAATCAGTCAAATTATTGTTTTAATATCTTAGGAAAAAACATGAAGGTATTTTCACATTCAAATCTTAGTTTATATTTTTATTTTATGTTAGCTTCAGTGTCCCATTATAAACCATTGAGAGGGGTTAAGTTATTCTAGAAATACAATTGTTTTACTAGTTATAGGCTAATAGTTGCTGTTTAACAATTAAAGCTGAAGACCATTTTGGTGTGCTGCTTGTCTTAAATTACAGTTTTAAAATTCAATAGTTATTGTGTCTAGAAACTGTAACTTGATAGTTTTTAAGTCTGTCAAGTGCCTGTCCTTCAAGAGATATTTATTTATCTTGCACCTGGTTTTCAAAACACACTTCTACTCTGGTAACTCCTACCTGTACAAGATCTAAGCTTGGGCACATCTCTCTCACAAGACGCAGACTTTCTCTGTAACATTTGAAGTCGGTAAACACCAATGGAGCTCTCAGAAAAATGTCATAAAGGTGAAATTTGGTGACCAGGCCCACAATATTTTTGAAAAACTGTTCAGTGCTGTCCTTCCTCTATAATAGACAAAAAGAAATAGTTATATACATTTAAATACTAGTATGTTTATTGATGTTAATAAATAAAGTATCTTAAACTAATTATTCAAAGCATTAAAATTATAAGTTAACCCAATAGGAGCCTAATCATCTATTGCACAATACTGTTTTTTAAAGGAATGAGTGACATTAAATGGTTTAAATCATGGATTTACTTTTCATTTTACAAAATCATAAGCACATTTACATCAAAACATTAACTTATGTTTAAAGGCCCTACTCACCTTCATCAGAGCATCTAAAGCAGCCTTGTGTCTGATCTGTTCATCCCCATTAGACTTGGACAACTTTCTTTTCAGTACTTCCATCTGCACATCCTCAGATGGGACTGCATCCAACTAAAGAAGAAAAGAAAATGTGCAAGATGCCAGATTTTTATGAAAGTACTAATAGGATATGCAAGGTGTATTTTATGTTTAAACACATTGAGAAAAATTTTTAGTCTCTTCTCTCCATTTCTTAAAAAAATTCACTTCACTTGAAGCCATTATATCTTTTGAAGATAGGTGTGATTACTTACTGTTGGATGGAACTTGAGTGCAAATGACCTTAGAGGATTGTTTGATGTAAGGTTTCCTTGAAAGTCACCAACTTTTAATTTTCCCATACTCTAGGTAGAAAAAAACCTTTATTTTACATTGCAATACTAAAAATTTCAATATAGCTTTATCAAGTGATAAAAAAAAAATGAATGTGATTTTATATATACTACTCATATCTGAGATTAAAACATTCCAAAATTTTATTATTTTTAAATAGAATTGTTCATTGAAGTATTTGAAGGATCAACCTAAATATTATATATCATAGATGTTTTTATATTTAAATTGTCATTAACTTGATATTTAAATGTAATTTTTTTTTTAGATCTCCAGTATTAAGAATTTCCCATCAGTTGCTTTCATTACAAAAAAACATTTTTCCTCTTTCCTTTAAATGTCTGTTACAAGTAGTAAAAAATGTCTTTCAATTTTTTTGAGTATTTGTTAAATAATATAAATAAAATTTAAGTGGTATGGCTAAGCTTCATAAAAGATGCAAAAAGAGCCTAAATGATTTTATCAGCACGGCAATTGGAGCAAAAATAATAATATGAAAAAATAGCGAAGTTATGATCTTAATTTCAGGAAGTGATCAGATCAAATACGTAAGTTATCAGAAATTCAAAGGAATAATTACTAGCTATTACCTAATGTTGCTAATCGGTGACTATTTCAAATGCTGGATATTCTTACATCTTAACAGAAAAAAACGTTTTTTATTTAAACTGAGAAGCAAATGCAATTAATGACACAAAACTATCAAAACTACCCTCACCACACCCTCCTCCCTTCCATTAATCAATACAGACATCCTAGACTTACCAAGTCTCCATATTCCATAACATGGCTTGTGTTGGTTTCTTTCTTCACAATTTTGAACTGACTCTGAAGAGTTTCAGCAGACAGGTCTTCCTGTTCAACAATATATAAATAAGATCAAACAATGAAAGAAAGATCACAGTACATCTAAGAATACACGTAAATTTAAGATTGTGATGAATATAAGCATTTTTGATTGTAAAAATACAAATGTCAATATTCGCCCATGTATTCACCCAGGTAATTCATTTTGCAGCTTATACAGGTAAATGTTGACTAGAATTTTTCAACTGTTCTGGAGCTGTATTTACATTTTTAATTCAATTTTAAATTTGGACAAGGGGGTGGGGGGGAAACCACCCTCCTAGGCACATGCAAAAATCACCTAATTTGTGTTAATGTCAGTGTGCTTTTTCAGACTCAAGAAGCCTAGAAGATTAACTCCCCTGAAAATATCAGAACTTAAGATTTTTCTTTCTTTTTTGGCTTAAAAACTAAATTAGTATTGAAAGCCAATAGAAATGTTACAAGTAGTAAATACCTTATCTGAGTCTTCCATCCACATGACGCTGTAAACATCACCAAGATAAGTTTCTCTTTTATCATCATAATAACATGCGTATGATGACTCATCAGGGTTTGCAGCAGTTGTGACAAACACTGCGATTCAGATAAAAGACACCATATATCAGTTTACTATCAGCTGTGTCTGAGACTACACACATCAAACTTTTGACCCATGCTGCTCATATTTGTAAAAACATTTTTAGACCAAGTCTGGCTTGTGGTCTGTCTCATAAAAAAGAGGTTGAAAGTTCTGATTTATCAAAATCATCCAAAGCTCTGATTAAAGGCAGTTATGTTGGAGCGGGCGGTGGTTCTCAACCTTCTTAATGCCGTGACACTTTATTACAGTTCCTCATTTTATGGCGACCCCCCAACCACAAAATTTTAATTGCTTCTTCATAACTATAGAATATATATGTATTTTCCTATGGTCTTAAGAGACCCCTGGGAAAGGGTTGTTTGACCCCCAGTTTGAGAACTGCTGTGTTAGAGGAGGACCCAGAGTACAAAGATGTTAACCCCCCCAACTTCTGGGATAAACAATTTTAGGCACAAAACACAGAATCACACAGCAAAGATGCTTTAATTTACCAGGAAGATGATCAAAGCAATAGAACAAAGTTTTTAAAATATAAAAAGTGAAAAGTTTAAATATTAAACTTAATTATTATGTTTTTATTTAAATTAAATGTTGCTATTCTGTCTTCCAGGTCAGATTTTTAAAAACCAAATATTCTTTACATCCGCGGTCAAAGTCAAGTCCTTTTTTTAACTTTCATATGAAAAATAAACCACAAATTTGTCAACATTTTGAGTTAAAAATTAGTTGGTATCTCACCATTAATATTAGACTCAAGAATACGATCAAACATGGATCCAGATTCACAGGCCTCAATGTAAAACACCATCTGATGAGGAGAGAGCAGAACAGTAGAGCGTCACAACCTTAAACTGACATTTACATACCAACTCTCGATGAGCTCTTAGCTTCCACCCTTCCATCCACCACCTTTCTTTCTTCATGAAAATGGTGGCTAACTTCCACAGACCTCTACAAACTTTCAAACTAAATTTTTTTTTGGTAGTGAATTTTGAAATTAAGATACAGAACCAAGACTAAACAACAAAGTTAATGTACTGTGCCCACGATGTAAAAAATAAAATCTTTTCTACCAGATTCATCCCAACACATTACTCTATGCAATGGTGGAACTAATCTCAAACCCACTGGTATACAAAATAAACTGCTGGTCGTGTCTCTCTCATTAGAGTCATTCATCATGATTTTTGTTTTTATAAATAGCACATATTTTATTAAGATACAATAAAATATGGACAGTTCAGTTTATAACCAAATACACTAAATTATGAACTTATCAATCATTATGACTTCATTGTTTAATGAGCAAATCATTTAAATTACCTGTACTACTTGTTACTAGTATTAAAACTGGGTATCCCATTTCCATCTATTATTTATGAAGCTTTCCCTTATTTCTTCCTCTACTCTACTCCCCTAACCTCACTACCTTTTCCTGTCAATTTCCAAACTCGTAATTTGAACTTTTTATACCCAAAACATGTACAAGAAAAGATTAAGAACTTAAAAAAGTATTTATGTTATGCAATGTGGTATCAAAGTATTAATGTTATCCAATGTGGTATCAAAGTATTTAAGTTACGAAATGTGGTAGGTATCAAAGTATGTATGTTATGCAATGTGGAATCAAAGTATTAATGTTATGAAATGTGGTATCAAAGTATTTATGTTATGCATGGGGTAGGATGTAAGAAAGCCCAACAGTTGAAAATGTTAACTTGCCTGTTTGTATTGTTTCTTCTGATACATGGCTTTGATGGCATTGTGCAGGTCTTCAGCATGGAGCTGCAGGTAAAAGAGCAACAAAAAGCTTGTAGACAACATTGTGTAATGAGCTATAACACTTGGAATATTTATTTTTACTATAACTTTAAGTAATGTTATTTTAGATTTTTTTAACATCAACATACAAAATAAATTGGAAAGAAAAGAAAGCTGACGCTAAATATTTGACCTTACCACATCGTTTGGAAATGCCAAAATTCCTGGTGCGCCGTGGTCAGCAAAGTTGACAAAGATTTTATCATCTGGGCCACTGGTGAAATGATTAATTTTTTGTATTGTTTTTAAAATTATAAGACTTAATGCCAATATTCCACAAATCTGTACACTCTACAATAATATGGGACACAGCAGGATGGAGAAATATTTTCATTTTAAGATTAATCATCCAGGAGCTACAGGTGATCTGAAATAACTATTCATGATATCTCCACCGTTTTCATTGCCTTTACCTGTTTATGACCTTCCCTTCTCGACCCAATAATTTCTTGACACCTGCAGCATCACCAGTCAACACTTTGAGGAACACTTCCGGGGTTACTTCCTAATTTAGAAAAAAATAATTTTTTTAGGGTTTTTTTTCCCCCCGCAACTTATTGGTGTGAAGAAACCCAATGTAAAATCAATATCTTTTTTGTATTCATAGTAATAAATTCTTACAGAGCAAATACAGTGGAAAGTTTATCTCGTTCATTTAATGACAAAACCAATGTTCATATATTTTTATGACACTAATCATTGCTTTTAAATTACTACAACTGACCCCAAGCAGCATGCTATTTTATTACGTGTGAATCTATAATTATTAGTACAATGTAAAACATTATTTCACATAAACATTAAAGCAGATTGAACGCATAATAAATAATCAAAACTTGCTAATTTTCAAAACTGCACTGAGACATAATTCTTGATCTTATGGTTTTGATAGTGGTTTTTTCATTACTCTTCACCAACAATTAATATCTCGCACTAAATGCACCAGTCTTTGAGAGATTGAGAGGGATTTTTCAAACAAAAAATCATTAAAATTTAAGGAGATATTAAACCATATTATTTCATCAACCCAGCTAAAAACTGACTCCTACGTTATAAAAGATTTTATTTTTTATTTTTAATTAATTAAATTATTTTATTAATTTTGTGCTTTACCTCTTTAGTGTAATCTTTGAGCACACCTGCATATACATTTGGTCCATCGGGATGATTTATGATGTTGTTAGGGACAGGGTTGCTAAGGAGGTATTAGTAGAATGTGTAAAAATCCAAGTCCTCCTTGAACTTTTTAGATCACTAACTCAAACTGTACAAAATCAACATATTAATTTAGTACATTATAATGATTGCCCCCCTGCAGTATTATATCAAGCAATAAAATTCTTTGCAAATTGTCAAGTCTCATATCTTTACAATTACAATGGTGTCATCAAAATTGCCTCTTTCCTGACACTTTTTGGCTGTAGAATTTGTATAATATAGCTGTAGATGTATAACTCTAGGTCCAAACCACATTAATGAACATTTAAATAAAATCCTAATGGTATTGCAGCTTTTGTCCCACTTGCTATCAGTGATGAACTGATGTCCTGATTTAGTTTTGTGGAATAAATTTATTAAATATAGTAGAAACCTTTATTCACTGATGTTTGAATTTTCTCAGATATTTTATTTCCATGAGGACTATATTTGACACGTTTGAATTTTTTAAATCACTCTAGTATTTCTTTACTGCAATAAGGAAAAATTTGTCATCAATTTTAACATGAAATTTGTTGTCATTTTTGCTCTATTTGATTTTTAGCCCCTGTGAGGATACCACTCACAAAATTGCTGTATGCAGTGCCAATGCTTTCAGAGGTATCGGGAATCCCGGCTGATTCCGTGATCGTGCCTTCTATTTTTTTACATAATAGAGTCCACGTGGCTTTGCCGAACAGCCAGTGTCTCCTAGCAAACCTTGGCTTTGCAAGCACAAGATCGAGTGTGATGAGAGTCGGTCGATGGTCACTGCCAACCTCATCCAAGACTTTGCACTGGATCTTTGACTAGAGCTCGGCCGAGACCAGTGTTATAGCGGGGCGTGACATGGCGCTGTTGCCAAAAGCAGTGTTGGTTCACTGTTGTCGTTATGCAGCCTGATGAGGTTGGTCATGAGCTCAACCTCCTCTAGGTATTGGGATAGCCCATATCCCTCATATGGGCATTGAAATCCACTGCTATTATTTTATCGCTAAAGAGGGTTGTGCCCTGCAAGGGCAGGCACAATGTGTTCCTAGGTGTATTATAAATATTGCTAATGGTAAAAGACTTACCCCCTACAACTACTCTCCGGCATGATACGATATGCAAGAAGGCAGAGTTCAAATTTGAAATAATAATTAACTTACTCCGGACTATTAGCAATGTCATCATACATCATGACTACGATTCTCTCATCTGGGATTCCATTGCTCCTAATCACATGGTAAGCATGGCAGATGTCAGCCTGAAAATTGATTTCAGATTCAACTAAATAAAAATATTGGCAAAACTTAAATCACATGTGCATATTATTTCATTTAATGGCATGACAAAATGAAATGCCATTTTTTCAAAATAAATCTTAATTTTAGATTATCATTTGATACAGTTTAATGTAAAACAACTTGAAAATAATTATATCCCAGAAAAGTTAATAATGTTCCATTTAAATTATAATAAAATATATATTTCGATAACTTATACTTCAGAATTCAGTAAATTATAAGACATTTTTGTTAGTCCTGCACTACTAGTGATGTTGCATACATTGAGTTTAAATGGCTACCATCACAACATTAAAAATATTTAAGAAAATATTTATTAAAATATATAAGTATTTTTAGGTTTTATTATGAATATAAGGAAGGATAAGGTCATAAATCAATTTTAAATCAGTTGCTAAAAGTAGATGGTTGTTTTGGTTTGTGGCTGTTTTGCTTTAATGTTGTTCTTTATTGCAGTCATACTAAATTTCAGACAGAGATCTCAAAGATGACCAGGAATCATAAGTTTGGAAAAACTTTCTTACAGTAAATTTAAAATAATTATAACAGTGTCTATTACAATTGTTAACTGAATAATGATGAACAAGCAGGTAACGGAATTTTAATTATTGAATTAAAAAATTAGTCTCACCATCTTTTAATGATTTAGATTCATATTTCCCCCTCCCCCACACCTTTTTCCTTAATAAAATGGAGGCTTAATGTTAACTTATACAACCTATGTAAGTAACTCTAATTTAATCCATAGCCTAAGATCTAAAATATCACTTTTTACCCACATTAGTTTAATAGTATGCCTAAAATTGGGCCCATCACAAATAAGTTTTTTTATAATTATTATAGTCATAGGGCTATTAACTAGAAAATATTAGAATTACTAATACGGAGTCCCATGGGGGTATGACATTGACACAATGAAAATTCCAACAACTCCTGCAACGTGGGACGCATAAAGAGCACAGAGAAACACATAAAATGACTCTGCTGGTCCTTTACTGCATCCTGGTCTATTTTCAGTCGTCTTGTCTCAGTCTTGCAAATTGATCATATAGGCAAGGATGAGAGAGTGAGGGTGACCATTTGATCAACTCTCCCTACTTTCAACAAAAAAGGCTCAAGTCTAGGCCACTACTCAAGTCATCTTCGGATGGTTAAGATACAAAATAATGATTAGAATTACTCCTAGAGTCAAAGTCAACTGAATAATGTAGGCCTACCTAGTAGGTTAGTGAGTTATACTACACAGACAGTAGTGAGTTTTAAAGATGTTATAAAGTTATTTGTTTTGGCAATCTGGTTATTGGAATTCAGTTTTAAACTAGTTATCAGTTTTTACAATGCTGTCCCAATAAGAAGGCCAGTTTGACATATTTTATAAGATCAAAATCAGCAGTTGAAATCTATTTTTAGAACAGTCCAAGCAACTCTCATTTTGATACAGTTTGTTACCAGCATTTTGACCTATTTTTATAATCAGTGACAAAACTGTGACAATGCTATCTGGACTCATTAACTGATATCTACAGCAGAATACCAGCCTGCAAAGACAAAGTGCAAAGGCGTAGATAGCGTTAAAATACTAATAATGTATTTAGAATTGACTTCTGTATCTAGATTTGCCTTAAATATTTGGATCATCAAAGTTATAGAGCGTATCATCAATATTTTCATTTATGACACCATGTCACTAATTTTTAATAAAAAAGTTATAAAATGAAAATGTAAGAGGTTTTTTTTAGTTTTTTAAATAATGTAATCTACCAGGGAAGCGTCAGTTATTCAAGTCATTGTTAAGATATGGTCAGAAGTGCTATTTAAACAGTTGTGCTCCATTGATAAAATAAAATTCTTTTATTGATCCAAATAAATGAAAAGGTCATTTATAACATTGTACATATTCATTTCAGTAAATATAAATAATCCAAGACAAAACTTTTTAAAAAAATTTTCTTAAAAATGTATTTATTAATTTTTAAAAATATAAAATTTAAACAATGTAATGTCAGAAAATAAAACAGAGTTTGAGTTTATGCATAGTTCTCCCCAAAAATGTATTTATTAATTTTTAAAAATATAAAATTTAAACAATTTAATGTCAGAAAATAAAACAGAGTTTGAGTTTATGCATAGTTCTCCCCAAAAAGGAATTTCTTCAAAATATCATCTCCATGGCCATGAAAAATAAGTGCAGAACATTAACTCATGAAATGCACATATGAAAGGAAAGGATTGCAGCTGGTGCCAAACTGTTGTTTCATTTTACGTTTTTCACGCATCCACACATTAACATTCTGTGTGTGAACACCAGGGTCATTTTTAAATATTTTAATGAACACAATTTTGTTGATAGCTCATAACAGAGTTTTCGTAAATTCTGCGTCTTATCTGGTTTATTTTTGCAAAAGCCACCCATACGTCTGATATAATGAGTGAACCTGGAAGGATATATCTCTCTATTTACTCCTGTTAAGAGATTGCACATCTGGCACTTGAACATGAAAACAGCGTCCAAACTCTCTTTCTAAACACCAGAAAACCCAGTTGCCTTCTCTTCACTAACCTTTTATTTAACAGACATGAATAAAAGAAAAACTGTTAAAATAGCACCTCAAGCCAGAACAATAGGCTAATACTCAATAATAGGATTTTTGAATAAACAATGCTGAAGTGGCAGAATACCATAAATTATATTTCATCCTTATTGATATTGACTTATTGTAGTAAATATTTTTCTCCAAGGGGCAAGGGGGGCTTCACTTTCTCGAAAAAAAAAGGGGGCTCAGAGATGCCTGAAAGAAACACTAATTTATTAGGCACTGAACTAGTCTAATCTAATCTTATTATTGTCAATCTTAATCACTTAGGCTTATTATTGTCAATCTTAATCACTTAGGACTTAGGTTTAAAATACTCCAATGACTAACTAAAGGCAATATCATTGTCAATGATCAATGTCTTAATATTATCTATACTAGTCTCATACTATACTTTAGCTCACTAAGAATTCAGGTTAATTAACAATCAGCGAACACTTCAATAAGTTAATTTAATAGGTCAAATAACGGATACGTATTTATGAGCAATTCCCAGGAATAGCAACGTTAAGTTGGTTTTTTTTTTTACCTGATGTCTGTAGTTGTAATAGCCATTTGAGCCTGCTACAAGCAAAGCCCAGTGATTCCCACCAAACGCTATTGACAAAAATGAAGACAGCACTGGTATATAAAATAAAACATTCATCTTGAAGCTGGTAAAGCAGAGTATAGAGACAGGAATGAACAATCAAAACTGACAGAATTTGCCAATTAAGTCGCTCGACAGCTTGATTTATATTGTAAAAATTGTGTTGTTTTCTGACCTACTCAATCCAAGTAGTTGTTACTTCTAGCATGAAGATATTATCGATACTAAATATAATGGTGACGATATTCAAGCAGTTCTTTTAACAAGGAATCGCTTAAAATGCGATCATTGGTATTGAAATGGTCCAGCTTCTCTTAAAAACAATATAAACAATATGACAAGAATTATTCGGTTTCAGTCACATGCTTTAGTCACATGATAAATATCCCCCCTCCCCCACTCCCCAGTTTGACCTTTCTTGATTTCTCATTGTCTCTTTTTCCCTTGAACGTGACCATGAGGTCAACCCTCACTTATGTCGGCGAAACAAATCTGTAGTTTCCGACTTGTGTTTTATTGGAATTAATTATTATTGATTGGCGATGTTCCCAATAAGGGGTCGTTCGCAAATTCCTCACATTCGGGGGGGGGGGAAGTGGGGGGGGGGGGGAGGGGGGGGGGGGAGGGCTGTCGAGAATTTGTGACAGAGAAGGGGGTCAAACTTTGTGACCTCGCAAAATAAGAAAGAAATTTAATCTAAAATTTTCTGAGGCGAAAACAATAATTTTGCAGTGAATACTTATTTATTTATACATATTTTACAACATAATAATAATAATAATAATAGCTATTGTAAAGACACTGACACCGTCGATTACGCAGCGTCGGCAGCATGGTGGAGGGGGACCTCGCATACCGGTATTGATTCTCTCAGTGATCGTAGTTTAAACATAAAATAATTATTACAGTTCAGTTGTTTAATCCAGGTAGGGGATATTTCAGACGTGGGGGTGTGAGGGGTGGCTGGGCATCTGTGAGCGTCATATTATGCATTTTGGCATAGCCTACATTACCTGACTTGACTGCGGTTATGGCACTACCCGGGGTATTCTTTTGTACCCGGGGTATTCTTTTGTACCCGGGGTATTCTTTTGTACCCGGAGTATTCTTTTGTACCCGGGGTATTCTTTTGTACCCGGGGTATTCTTTTGTCCCCGGGTATTCTTTTGTACCCGGGGTATTCTTTTGTCCCCGGGTATTCTTTTTTACCCAGGGTATTCTTTTGTACCCGGGGTATTCTTTTGTACCCGGGGTATTCTTTTGTACCCGGGGTATTCTTTTGTACCCGGGGTATTCTTTTTTACCTGGGGTATTCTTTTGTACCCGGGGAATTCTTTTGTACCCGGGGTATTCTTTTGTACCCGGGGTATTCTTTTGTACTCTGGGTATTCTTTTGACCTCCAGCTTTATTTTGCCCCTTTAATGTCACATTAAGGTGGTCCATGTGGTGTATTCTTTTGTTCCCGGGGTATTCTTTTGTACCCGGGGTATTCTTTTGTACCCGGTGTATTCTTTTTTACCTGGGGTATTCTTTTGTACCCGGGGTATTCTTTTGTACCCGGGGTATTCTTTTGTACCCGGGGTATTCTTTTGTACTCTGGGTATTCTTTTGACCCCCAGCTTTGTTTTGCCCCTTTAATGTCACATTAAGGTGGTCCATGGGTCAACAAAAAAATATATATGTTTCTTAATTTAAAATTTTTTTTAGCATATAGTCTAATACTAAATATGCATCAATAGAAAGACCTAACAAAAAAACAAAAAACTCAAGTTTCTTTTGATTTTTTTTTTTTTTTTTTTTTTTTTTTTTTTTTTTTTTTTTAAATAGCAAAAAAATGATAATTTTATACCAATTTTGAATGTTATGCAAAATTTATTGAAGATAAGTGGTTTTAGCGATATCACAATCAAACTTTGCACACTGATATAATATAATAACATTGTTAAAACACGCATGCATACTCACGGCGTTATAATGATTGGGAGAGCTGCAAATGGCATTTTTGTGGGTCACATACATTTTTGACAAATTTTTGAGGGTAGCTTATGTAAAAAAAAAAAATAAAAAAAAAAATTAAAAAATTAATTCTGTTGAATAGATATAAATAAGTACTGGTAGATAGGTAAAGAGTAGAGTGTCAATGGAAAGAAGCATTGGAAAGTTTAAAGTCTGTAACTTAACAACTTTTCCTCCTACATACATTTGTCATTCGCCAAAAATCTGATAAACGCCAAGTTGAGAAAAAGGAAAAGAAGTTTAAATGATACATTTTATTATTTTTTTTAAAACTATATAAGTGAGCAATGGCGTAAAATAAGAAGCGTCCTATTTTCGGAAAAATACGGTATTTTGAGAAAATGCCCGGTGGTTCCAAGTGTTACAAAAAAAGAGTTCACCTCAAATTTGCAATAAACAATAGACCTAAAGACAGTCCTACACCCTCTACCTGCTGGCCTTTATTACTTTAACCGATAGTCCTACAGACTTGGTTCGATATGAAGAAGGCATTTTGCCTTGTTGTGTCTTGTCTTGTTTCAAGTTTTCCCCTACGCTCTGGGTTTTTTTTTTTTAAATTCCATCACAAGGAAACAGTTGAGCCATTCGAAGATCTCATTGGCTGAAAAGCTAAAATATATCAATAACACACAAACGCTTACTCTCTCAGGTTGTTGTTGTTCGTCCGTCGAGGATCGACGATGACCATCGAGTCGTCTGTTGACTGATGACTTGCGCGGGTAACTTTTGTTTAAAGTGAGGAAGAGTTGCGCAGCGTCAACCTCACTCTCTCGTCCGAGCCCACCATATCCAGTGGCAAGACCAGGGATGGGTTCGGTTGCAGGAATTGTCCTTGTATGCACCTTACGGGACTCTAACTCCGGGTTTGAATTCAGAGTTTCCTTCTCTTAGATGAGTTGCCGACCAAGGTTAATGAGTCTCATCCACCCGGGGTGATGTTTTTTGCTTGACCGGCCTTTGGCTTAAATTGAGGTTTGCTCAGTTTAGACCATTCGATCACCCAGTCACCCATGCAGTGAATGACCATGGCGTTCTACGTGTCTGGTCATGTTCTCAGCGATTCACACCACTGTGCTGTCTCTCAGGTACACAGATTGAGTTTGCTCAAACAGTGCGAAACCTGGGTGTCTACTTAGACAGAACACTAACTATAGAAAATCACATTAACATGCTTTGCAAGGCGATTTTTCTAGAGCTGCGCAGAATTAGTCATATCAGACCTTTCTTAAAGTTAAATGCATCAAAGTGGCTGATGTCTGTATTCATGCTATAACGCATGGACTACTGAAATGCTCTTATGGTGGATCTTGCAGCTAGCTACACTCCTGGATAAAATTAAAAAAGCACAGAATAATGCGGCTCGTATTTTTCTACGAAAACGCAAATTCGACTATGCTAAAACATGTCTGAGAGAGTTGCATTTGCTGCCGGTGCGCACTCGCATAGAGTACTAAATTGCCACTCTTTGCTACCGCTGCTTGCATGACCTGGGACCGTCCTATCTCAAAGCGCTACTGACGCCTTATGTACTACTAGACAGCTCCGCTCATCTGATAGTTGCAGACTCTCGATACCACGTGTTCGCCTTGAGACTTACGAGGGGCGCACTTTTGCATTTGCTGGCCCAACAATTTGGAACACCCTTCCTATCGCTCTCAGAAACAGCCAGACACTGGCGTCTTTCAAAACTGATTTGAAGACTTATCTATTTCGCAAACACCTGCTGGGGTGATGTTATCTTGAACATGTATATTGGCCTGTGTTGTTTATGGTTGCAAGGTACGAAAAACTTAGAATGTGTATTCTCGTATGTAGTTTTTGTAATGTTGCATTTTGTAATTCAATGTGGTAAGTACCGCGCTTCGAGCCTTTGGGGATGAAGCGTGATTTTCAAATAATCTTTATTATTATTATTATTAATTACTAGACGGTATGGTTTCTCCTGCACACGACATAATGTTATATATTCCTAAATTCAAGGCAATGTTTAAGTGAACAAAGGAAACCATGCCACGCCCCGTTCCTCCGACGGTCTTCCTTTAACCATGACAGTGCCAATGTCCATATGCAGTGACATGGAAAGGGGAAGCGGGTGGATGATATAATAATAAGACACGAACAAATTGTGTCAATAGAACAATAGGAGTTAGCTTTAATAATAATTGTACATTATACATAATTAAACGTTTCGGCACATGCCTTCATCAGTACAAACAAACACAACACATTTAAATAAGTATAAATTAAATTTACATAATGTCAATATATATATCCTACCTAAAACAGAAAAAATATAGGAGAGGGCGCTTAAACCTGACAAAAACAAAGTAAAGAGATGTAGAAAGGAAGTCAAATGATATAAATGTCTGGCGTTCAAATTGTTTTATTTATGTGCTGAAAATGTACAATGCAATCAAAAAATATCTCCATTTGTTTGGATCAATAAAAGAATCTTATCTTATCTTATCTTATTACACCATACTTTTTTTCATACCTGGAGGAATAATAAATTATGTGTACTATTACAGTGAATGTTGGTAAAGTCTATCTATTGCCTATTATTAAAATATATGTATATATAAAAATAAAAAAAAATAAAAAATAAAAAAAATAATTAAAAAAAATAAAAAAATGTTAACTTCATGCCCATGATCAATTCAGATGTAACACAGGAGCCCCACCCCCCACGCATGGATAAATCCTCAAAAGTTAGTACACATAAAGTTCAGTTCCTAATTCCTTTTAAAAAAAAAAATTAAAAAAAAATATTATTAAAATACACCGGTGATCTTGATGGACAAGTTCTATTAAGTAGATTTGGATAACTTTATATTTGAGTTTCCTCATTTTTTTTTTCTTAGGTGTTCGTCTCTTTTCGCTTTAGGAAATAGTTTAATGTCGGAGTTTCCCGCATTTGGCGGAAGTTTTATTATTCACTATCTAACTTTCTTAGAGCAATCCTTCCAGGTCCTCTATTATTAGCCAACTACGTTTATAGCAACATGTTACGTTCACAGTAGCCCAGTAATTGAGAGGAAGAGACTAGTTAGGCTAACCCCCGTGTGTCACGTTAGTCACGTGGTGTGACTTTGCCCTCCACGTGATACTCTCGTGCCAGCCTTGTTCCCATCGTTCGTTAATAGGCGATACTCTCTGGCCTCATGTTTAGAAAGTGCATTAAATCCTATCAACCCGCAACTTATATATTTGTTTATTTATTTATTTAGGCATTTTTATACAGCGCTTACCTTAAAGCTCTAAGCGCTTTACAATTATTAAAAACATGTGAACTAAGTAAA